TGCACTATAAATATGTCTGCAAACATGACATGAAGTCTGATAACATTAACCCCGTTGCATGGGAGTCAGATCTTGTATCCATAGCAATGACCAGAGGAGAAATGACCTCACAGAGAAGAAGCCAGATGCCTTCATACGCTCCACAATGTAATATTTAACATGTCTCTTCCATATCGGTCTCTGCAGACATATCAGGCACATCAGCGTACAAAGGGAAGAGGGAGTGATGAGAAAGAAGTAGGGCCAGGGGTAAACAAGCAAGCAAAAACTTTTGTATCAATATGGCAGACCAAAGTGTCACTTGGCTGTGTCTTTGCCCATTTTTAAGCACAGGTTTGGCTGCCTCTTGAGTTATCATTGCCAAACTCAGCATGAGGCTTCCTGATGCGGGGGTCTTTGTAGACCTCGGGGTGTCATGCACCAGTTTGAATCAAGATGGAGGACTGAAAAATGATTTTATCATGATTTCACCTATTTATTTATTTATTTATTTATTTATTGAATAAATTTGGCCACTTCTTGTTGGCCATATTGTTGCCAAGTTTGGCACAAGGTTTCCTGAGGTGGGGGCCTTCATTGACATTTCATACTCCCTGGATTAGGTTAGAACCCTGGGTTGGAAGGGGTGTACACATGTGCAGCCCCCAAACTCAAAAATTATAATGACCACTTAATAATCACAATATTTTTTTCTTGTTTCATACAATTCCCAGCTACTGCTAGGTACTCCCTGCTGGTCTACATTATATATAGAGAGAGGGAAGGAGTTTTTCTGGAAGCCTGGAAAAGGTAGCATTTAACATCCAGAGGACAAAGGGTGATTGTTTATTTTCAACTATATGTCACACTCCCCCTTTCATCACACAAACAGTGAGACATGTAACATCTAATTCCTTAAAAATCAGCACTGGCACACCACAGGGATGTGTGCTAAGTCCCTACCTGTGTTCATTGTATGCATACGATTGTGTATCATCTGACCTGTCTACTGCAATTAAGTTTGCAGATGACACCACCATAATGGGTTTAATAACAGGTGGAGACGAATCAGCGTATAGAGGAGAGGTCCAAAATATATCTACATGGTGCCTAGGGAACAACTTGAACCTTAATATCAGCAAGTCAAAGGAGATGGTGTTGGACTTTCGGAGGAAGAAAGGAGAACTAGCCCCACTGTACATCGGGGAGGGCTGTGTGGAGAGAGTCTCTTCCTTTAAATTCCTAGGAGTTTGTCTCAGTGAAGACCTTACTTGAAAAATAAATACAGTGGTACCTCACAAGACGAATGCCTCGCAAGACAAAAAACTCGCTAGACGAAAGGGTTTTTTGTTTTTTGAGCTGCTTCGCAAGACGATTTTCCCTATGGGCTTGCTTCGCAAGACGGAAACGTCTTGCAAGTTTGTTTCCTTTTTCTTAACACCATTAATACAGTTGCGACTTGACTTCGAGGAGCAACTCATAGAACGTGGTGTGGTAGCCTTTTTTGAGGTTGTTAAAGACTTTGGTGATTTTTGAAGCTTTTCCAAAACTTTCCCGACACCGTGCTTCGCAAGACGAAAAAGATCGCAAGACGACAAAACTCGCGGAACGAATTAATTTCGTCTTGCGAGGCACCACTGTACAACCCAGGTGGTTAAGAAAGCCCAGCAGAGACTCCATCTCCTCAGAGTATTGTGGAAGAACGATGTCAATCAACATTGGATGATCTCCTTCTACCAGTCAACAATAGAAAGTGTATTTTCATACTGCATCACGGTGTGGTATGCTGGTTTGACATCAACTGATAGTAAGTGCCTACAGAGGGTGGTGAATACAACACAAGATATTATGGGCTGTCCCGTGAATCTGCTGGATGAAATAGTGGAAGAACATTGCCTCAGGAGAGTGAGGAAAATTCTTAGGGATGATTCACACCCTGGACAGCACTTTCTTGATCTCCTGCCCTCAGACAGAAGATATAGAAGCATGATTAGTCGCACCAAAAGGGTAAAGAACAGCTTCCATCCATGGGCTGTTAGGCTGCTAAATGAAAAGATAACAACAGGGCAACTGACTTTCGGGTTTGGTGGGTGTGCGTCAGTAAACGAGGGGAATTAAGACGAAGAGAGCTGAGTGGGGGGTGTTCGTGTAATCTCACTGTATACAGTTGTACAAGTGACAATAAAGTATTTCAATTTCAATTTTGCTTCGGGCAGCTCAGTGGCAAGAACTTGGCCTCTGAATGGCTGCTTTGCTCTTTCCAGGCCCTTGCAGAAACACGCTTCCCATCTTGATGTTTTGCTATATATTCAAATGATAGGCTACAGACTCTCCAGTGGGTCAGAGTGCCTTGCTTCTTTAATCAGTAGTAAATGACTTTTATTTATTTATTACTGATTGCAGCAAGTGATGTTCCTGAACCAGCATTTCTCCACTGGGGCATGTGTGTTCCATTCCTAGCCTATAATGTAAAGTGAATTGTCAGATTTGAGCTCTAGGCATCCATTGAGTTGTACTGAACAGCCAGTACTGTTGTCAGATTAGGACAGGACAGAGCAGAATTAGGATAGGACAGAGTTTTGTTTGTTTGTTTTGTCTTTTGTCATTACACTATGTATTTTGTTTTGTTTTTATACTGTAAACCATTCTGTGATGAAGGGTGCTTTATTTATTTATTTATTTATTTATTTATTTATTTATTTATAATTAAAAATAAACCAGGTATAACCAGTGCACTGCCCTCCAGGTATGGTTGGATTCTACCAGTGCTTTTTTTCTTAAAAAAAATGTTTAGAGGTACTCTCATTTTCCTACTCATATTGAAATACTGCCCCTCAATGAGGCCAAACTTAGATTCACAAAATGTCTAGAGGTATACGTACTGCTGCGTACCCCCAGAAAAAAGCACTGGATTCTACCTACCTTTCATCACCAGCCAGCTTGGCCAACATCCTGCTTGGCACGGGGTTGGACTCGATGGCCCTTGTGGTCTCTTCCAACTCTATGATTCTATCATATGATTCTATGATTAAGAGAAGATGGGAATGGTGAACACAATACTAGCCAACCCTGCAGTAGACTACAACTGGCCAGTCTGAACAGGAAGATTTAATAAGTCCTCTCGTTGAGCTGGAATGGATGGAGTTACTCACTACCCGGGAACAATGTACAGCCACAGGGGAGATGCCCTGAAGGTTTACTGTGGTGTACATCAGATGTCAAAGAGATGAACAACTACCTGATGTTTAGAAGACATCTGAAGGCAGCCCTGTTTAGGGAAGTTTTTAATGACTGATGTTTTAATGTATTTTTAATCTCTGTTGGAAACTGCCCAGAGTGTCTGGGGAAACCAGCCAGATGGGTGGGGTACAAATAATAATTTATTATTATTATTATTATTATTATTATTATTATTATTATTATTGCCAGTTCTATCACTGGCAGCTCCTAATATAAAGAGGAAACTCAAATGTGCAAAGGAGTTTCCATTGCTGGAGGTATGTGGACCTATGGTCCTCCTGATGTCCAACAACATCTGGAGGCAGGAGTGGCTGTTGGGATGGAGTGGAGGTGCTTACCTGACCTTCCAACAGCAAAGTTGCTTCTGTATACCAGAAGGGTTGGACAAGGGCGCAGGGAGGTTAGCACTATGTGATCACACCAGCGGGAGTACTGGATGGGCACCAATGGGGTGTTTACACCAGGCATGGCCAAACTTGGCCCTCTAGATGTTTTGGGACTACAATTCCCATTATCCCTGACCACTGGTCCTGTTAGCTAGGGATTATGGGAGTTGTAGTCCCAAAACATCTGGAGGGCCAAGTTTGGCCATGCCTGGTTTACACAGTACCGACCTCCCCACTACATCGCCCTCCCTTTCCAGCAGTTAGTTAGCAGTAGTGACTCCACTTCCAGGATGTCAAGTAACCACTGCTGCCCCCACCCAACTGCTTCTGTCTGGAGGGACACAGGCTCCCCTTTCTGACAGTACTGCTTCATCTGCTGTCAAATAGGCTGCCACATTTCAAAACATTTCAGTGACTCAGTCTTCAATGCAGTTTTGAAAATGCTCTCCTCACAGACAGACCCACTTGCAATTCCTATCACTGTAATCGGAAACCCACTTCTGAAAGTGAAGGCAACAATCATTTCTGTTCCATATTCTTTTGTCATTAACAGTATGACATACCAGAGAATTTTAAATAGGCTAATTCCATGCACTGTTGCATGGAGATTACATGCCTTCCCTGTGCTCATCATTCAAAGGCAAAAGAAGAAGAATAGATCAAAACCAGGGAAGTCTTTGCCTTTTGTGTGCTTGTGCATGTGACTCATTAGGTCCCTTGCTACCTATGTTCAAAATAAATGACAAATTTTCTGCATAGCCTATGGAGGCTTTTGCTGAAAGAAAGTCATTTCCCAATCCTAAAAAAGAGCAAATTATGCCTATTCAAGGCACAAAGTTGAAAACTGAATTTCAAATAATTTAATTACAGGATATAATTACTTTACCAAATCGGTGAAGTATTCATTAGACAATGGTAATTTCCACTTAATTCCCCATGATACATATCCTGCCTTTGATATACAAAAGGTCTTAGATACTTTCTAATCCCCAGGCATGAAACGCATCAAATTACACTGGCAAAGGCCAATGAAGCAACCGAAATAATAACATCTAACAGATGATGAGGGACAATAAGCTATGTTTAGAGAAGGTAAAACAATGTTAAGTAAGTTTCTGGGGCATGAATACACCCAAATGAGAGAGATCCTCTCAGTGGGCTGTGACGCATTAACCAAAAATAATAACAATCTGATGCATTTTCAATCCTGTCTCCTGCCTTTATTTTGTAATCCATCCATCACACAACAGTTTTCTAATGTAAACAACTACCGTTCACAGTTCTTGGGGGAGGCTTACCCATATGTTGCTAGGCACCTTGAAGGTTCTTGCATTTATTGATGAGGTCTTTAACAACTAGCATCCAGGATACCTTAAGGGTATTCTGGTTCCTTATATCCATGCACAATAGCTCAGTTGGTAGAGCATGAGGCCCTTAATCTCACGGTTGTGGGTATGAGCCCCACGTTGGACGAAAGATTCCTGCATTGCAGGGTGTTGTACTAGATGATCCTTGTGATCCCTTCCAACTCAAAATTCTATGATTCTGTGATCCCTGAATCCCAATGTAGCAGTACAGAGAGTTCTGCAGTCACTTCTTTTTCTTCAGATTGTTTGCCCTGATTTCCTCCATCCCTCACTGGCTGTGTGATTTCCTTCCCATCAGTTAAACATCAGGACCTGCTGACTTCTGGACCATAAATTGGATGAGTTGTCATCACAGAAGAACACTACTATCGAAGTAAGCATGAACCATGGCAGAGGGAGATACTAAACTTTAGGACACTCCCATGCAGGGAAACAGCAGAATCTGGAATGTGACCTAATGTGCCCCAGTTGGACTCATCAACTCCTAGTTCTGCCCCCAGAGCCCAAACACAATCTCCTCTAGGTCTCAAGGACACTGATGGCAGTGAGCCCCAATAAAGGCCTGTTCCCAATAGTACATCACTCCACAGCCAGTGGAGGCTGGCCTGTTATGATGAATGGAGCACCATCCTCAGTCATCACTCAGCCAATCCGCATCTGCCTGGCTTTATATGGTCTGGATTAGCTATCATTGACCGATTCTACCTACCTTTGGTCTTCCTGCCTTCTGCCCTACCAGTTCTAATGGCCATCATTGCTCACAGCCCAATGTTTGAGTTCTGCCTGAAAGGAATGCAGCCTCATAAGGTTGCATTCAGCTTCAGGGTCCTAATTAGTGCTCCAGGATCAGTTGCGGAAGTCAGGCTGAGTCCTTAAACAACCAGCTGCATCCTAGGAGCTGAAGACATAACAATTTCCATAGGCTTGATCATAGTTTATGTCTCATGCAGTGCTGTTTTTCTAAAAAAAATGTTTAGGGGTACTCTTATTTTGACTCAAGAAAATCACCATTTTATAGTTCAAATCGGAGGAAATAAATACAGTAAATGGACAAAAGTACAAAGATTCACAAAATGTTTAGAGGTATTTGTACCCCTGCATACCCCCAGGAAAAACAGCATTGGTCTCAGGTACTCAGAAATGGAAACAGTTGAGTTCCTTTTCCTGATTATAATACTTGTGTTTCTCTCCTGTTTTATAATGTTCCTTTCTCACTGCAGGACCTGTTGTGTTTTTGAAATATGGCTTTTTCACTGGTATACTAGCACGCCACACTAAATTTCATTCATACCAGCGAGTGTAGTGTGATACAACAAATGTCACTGGATAACATCACTACAAGCCCACTCTTTCCACACATGCTTGTTTCTGTACCTCTTCCCCTGGCCCCAATATTTCCAACAAGAAAATGGTAGGAAATAACTGTATGCTGGTATACCACCTCAAATTTTGTCACTTTACTCCTGGGGTTTCCTGGGATAATGAAATTTCAGATGGATTAGTTTACTGGAACAGAAATGGAAATGAGCATTAAACTTCCACTATAGTCTACTATACTTCCAGAAGCGGCTTTTATGTCATGTGAAAACACATAAATAATGTGGAAATCAAACTGCTAGGGAAATGCTTCTTTTCCAAAGGTAGCCTTCCATTTCTCTTGACAACACCAGATCCAACATCAGATCCAGCTTATTAGATAGCATCAGTGGAAGGATTTGGCCTTCCAGAGAAATTGCTTCCTTCAAGAACTTCAATGTTCAGAGTTTTTTCATTGCAATTGATATGCTGTGGTCCATGACTGGGTGGGATCAACTTAGCTACCTCTGATTCAGCCAGGAAAAAAGTAAGTGTGGTGCACCTTTGCTCTTCAACCAAAAAGAAACAAAGGCCCCTGGAGCAGCTTCTAGATCATTAAAACAAGACAGTCACAGCCCTCAGGTTTACAATCTAAAAAGACACAGCATAAGAAGAGAATGGGTTGGGAAAGAAGAGGAAATCAGCAAACCCAGATACCAGTTCTTAGCTACAAGTTTGTCTAATGACAATCTTGGGTGAAAAGAGTTCAAGGAAAGGAGGATACAAAAGTTGATGGTCTCTTATCCATGCCAACTGAGTGACCTTGGCTCCCTCTTCTGCTACAGACAGAGGGAGGCAAAAGGTGTCTCAACAGAGCTGACAGTGGCCCTAGTGACTAAAGGTCCAATAAAATATGGACGATAAGTCCAAGCCCACACTCAGTTGGGGTAAGTCAGCCCAGAAGACCATTTGCAGCTCAGAAGAAATACGACCCCCCCAACATAAATTCGCATTCGTCCTTGATATTTGCAGCACTGGTTCTTCAGAAGCAAGGTGCTCTGACAATTACTTCCAATCTCAGAAGATTCAATTAGCTCATTATGCAAATGAAGCATCAATCTGTGAGCTAATCCTGACACATCTTATTATATAATATAATGAAGGCACAGGGTGAGATGAAATACAAATTAGTGTTACAGTTATGCGGAAACTCGAGTCTTACCTCCCCCGCACAACCAATAAGAAGGTCTTAAATTGTGCATTACCAGAACAGGCATTATGAATCCACACATAAATGCATGATTATGGATAATTTACAAAATGTGAATTCTGTTCTTATTCCCATAAAATGTACCAGGTTGAGGGTGCAGTTTACAGTGGTTGGTTGGCTTACTTTTTTTCCTTTATTCCAAGCTGCAAATGGAAAGGGTAAGTGAGGCAGAACAGCCAAGCAAACTTTAATTGAAAATTTATTAATACTTTAATGCACAGCAGTTTGATTCATTCAGTTTATAGGCTGATAACATTTAATACATTCTATTTTTTAAAAAAAATTAATAAAATGATCTCCAATCTGCCTCGCTCACTGGCTTTTTCTCAACTGCTTTGCCTTTATGTAAAGTTCTAGCCCCGCTGGGTAAGAGGAGAGGAAGGAAAGAAGCCAACCATCAGCAAATTACATCTCTCCCGAGATCCTTATCTGGTCTACTTATGACTTTTCCCCTCCCCTCCTGCTTTGCTAACTTTGTGTACAGCATATCTTGGCTCAGAGCAGAGTCCATATTATCATGGCATCCCTTTGAAATGTTTTATCTAATTGCATCTTCTTTATTAGCTTGGAAATGGGCAGCCCTCATCGTCTGTGCTTGAACTCACTGTAAATACTTCTATCCCTGGGGTTCATTGTTAGCTCTCTCTCTCTCTGTGTGTGTGTGTGTGTGTGTGTGTGTGTGTGTGTGTACGTGCACTCATATGTTTAAATTTCTTGGCCAGATCACAAAAATTATGCAGCTTTGCCAACCCTAATGATTAGATCTGTGCATTCCAAATATTGGTCCTCTTTGCAGTGGAGAGGAAAGGAAGAGGGGAGCAGGCATTCAGTTCTGGGAGAGCGCGGCGCAGCTGGGGCAAATTATCTTTCCTCATTTTCTCAAAGGGATCAGGAAGCCCAAATAACAACTTGCCAAAGCGGGGTGGAGAACCTCCAGCCCTCCAGAGTACAACTCCCATTAACTCTGGCCAATGGCTATCCTTGCTGGGGCTGATGAGAGCTGCAGTTCAGCAACATCGGGAGGGCTGAGGTTTCTCCACCCCTTCTGTACACAGTCACCAGGAATTTGTGACAAAAGCCCTCTTGAGGCTGTACTGCTTTGGGACAAAGGTGATGAAGGAATTCATGTCTGAATGCTCACTGCCTCAATGTTTGATTTCAGCTCCAGTAAAGAGATAAATGAAGCCTATCTCAAAATGTAAGAGGGCCATTTGAAGATGCTCCTCGGTGTGGTCCCCCTCCCCTTTGTGTCAGTGCATCTATAAGACCAGAACCCAGAGAAAGGCTTATGTGAGGATTATTCACTCCATAACCCATCACAGCTGCTACAGTCCATTGTGCATCCTGTTCCCAGTCCATACTAAAACTGATGAAGAGAAGAAGCACTTTTATTTCACAGTCCATTGAATCAATGGATGGAGCTGTTTCAGTCTGTTGAGTTAATGTGGGTGTCTCCAAAAACACAGTAAATCCATTTAAAGTATTTACCCCCCAAATAAAAACAAATATATATGGCATTGGCATGAGGGAAGCACACTGCGTGGTGATAGCATGGCCTTCTGCTAAGACCAGACATAAGAAATTCCTGACACTTGGGTTCTTTTCATGTATACATGTCCCGTTCAAATGTTATTGTTTGTATCTGTGCAGGGGATCCTCTTCCAAATGCCATGTTTGTTGGGTTGATTTGCTTGCACAAAGTTTATTGAGAGGTTGGCCTATGTTCCGTACTGAACATGCATTCTGATTTGTTTCATATGACAATGAACATCCATCCTGCATCTATTCTGATTTGTATGTATGATGCTTGTGCACCTTCCCATCATTCATTCACCCTATACTTTGCAGTGCATTCCCCTATCACTTTCCTGACTGTAAAAAGTCCAGCGTATGTGTGTTTTTAAGTGGATTTGTTGTGTTAGGGAAACAGGGTGCTCATTCCACTCTAACTGCACAAACCTACAATTCTGGTATGGCTATCAATCCTTTTCACAAAGCAGTGACACTCCTCCACTGGCGGAGGAAGAGGAGTCGGGGAGCGCACCACCCCGGAAGCAATTCCCAGGGTGCCATCGCGGCTGGCCCCCACCCACGCTGGGCGCCCCGCCACCGCAGGCGGAGCGCCCTGCCCCCAGGACGTGTGCCCCACCCCAGGACACATGCCAGCCCCGCCACGCCTGCTCTCCACCCCCCCCCCCCCCGGTGCCGGAGCATGAAGCTCCGCCACTGTATCTATCAATGTTGTCCTTCATGGGGGGGGGGAGGTGATAAAGCCATTTTAGAATGGCCAGGCTGTGGTCATTAACTACACAGCTTTCCTGGACAGCTACCTGGCTCTATATCTAATGTCCACTCTTACAACTCTTTTATTTATTTACAAGGGGTTTCAGTCCCTGTTTGCTTCACTCTCCAACCTGCCTTTGCCTTTGCTAACCCTCCTTCCCACATACCTGGTCAACCCTCCCTCCTCTTCCACCTGACCAAAAACCCCTCCCTTTATACCTCACTCCCCTTGCCTATCCCCTCGTAGAGGCCACACAAAGTGCAGCACAAGGCCACATAAATGCCTTATGTTTTTATGTATATAGGAAGAAACATTTCTATCATCCTGTGTTTCAGTGACTGGCAATCAACATTTTCATTTTCACACAGCAGTCGATGTAATTCCAGAATGGGGCATTATGGGGCATTCTTGCTGCTGATCACAGATCCAACAGATGACAGGCCACCCTTCCAAAGTTATACCAGGAGTGGAGGGTGGGGAGTCAATGACATAGGAGGGAGCACCCTTGGGGGGAAGGATTAGGTCAAGGACCCAATTAAGAGACAAGCCAGCCATGAGATGGCTAAAGCAAACCTAAGCATAAGCACCCTTCAAAATTCATGCTTCGTCAAATTATGCAATGCAGTTCTCCCACCAAAATAATGCGTACAAAAATGTACAAACAGGAGTAAAGTGTGTACATAAACACACATGTATATGAACATGACATAAACTGAATACAAAAATGGGTTTCTTAGGATAAATTCTCACTAAGGTGCTGATGAAGACTTTTCTAAGAAGGAAGAAGAATGCAAACTGATGTGGAAATGGAGAAAACTGGGAAAAAAGCAACCATGAGAAACCAAAATAGACAGATTTGCTCATCCTTTGTCCCAGCCTATGAGACTGGTGATAAATTCAATACCCTTCCCCATAGTTACTCCACCTCATGGATGCAAACTTAAAATATGTGAGTCAGATTATTGGGAGGTAGAGATAGCTATCAGTATGAACAGCTTTTTAAAAATGGATTAGATGAATACATTTACATTATTAGGTCCATCAGTCACCACTAGCTGTTGTTTATTTATTTATTTGCATGTTTGAGGGTGCATAATCTTCTTCTCCGCCAAATGAGTTCAGATTGGAAAACTATTAAAAAACAAAACAAAAATGTATACATTAAAGTGGCCTACAGCCGGGGGGGGGGGCTGTTTGTGTGTACAAAATAAATTAGTAGCATTAGCTTCTCAGCAGGGAGAATTATACAAACAAAACTCAGCTCCATCACATATGGAAGTTAAAGGACTGCTTGAAAAGAAAAGTCTTTATAAGTTCATATAACTGAGCCGTGCTCTTGAGTTTGCTGGATCTCGATGCAATCATTTCCATAAACACAATGCGGCAAGGTATTAATTGTTGAATATGATTTTGGGATGTACAGATGTGTATAGATGCTCAAATCTACCCCAAACAAATGGCTAATTTCATAACTAGCAGCCTATTGTCAGATACAGAAGCTGTCCATCAATTTTTGTTTGTTTCAGTTTCCCAGTCCTTCCCTATCGTAGTTTGCCCTGTTTCAACATCAGGTATCTGTACTTTTAAAAAATGACCATATGAAAATTCATTAATATTTGTGTGCATTCTCTCTAATATACACATTCTTGCAAGCAGCTTCCCTATTTCTTCCCCAGAATTATATGGCTCAACAGATACTATGTTCTTGCCAGCTATTGGGTGTTTTTTTTCCTGTGGTGAAATAATTCATCTGCAAAACTTTGATTCATTCATTTCCTTTTGGTTTCTATTCTCAGCCCTTTCAGCCAGTAAGTGTTAATGTTAAGGAGTTTGCAGCAGCTACTTGCATGCATCTAAAGCTTGCAGCCCTTCGCAAAGACTGTTTAATGCCAAATATTTTCTATTCAATGAATACAGAGAATTCTGGAATAAACAGATTCTTTCATTTCTGTCTCCTTGCTCTAGGCTGATGCCTATGTTTTGTAATTTGTCATGTTATCATTTATCATCAGGCACTTTGGTGTTGCCAGGATGTGGTCAGCATTTGTGAGAAGTAGTGTGCAACTCTACCAACTCTTTGGTGACCTTTGCCTTATTCCTGGGAGCTGTGCCTTTAGATTATCTATTAGTTTTCCCCCACCAACAGACACAGAGGATTTCTCTAGACAAATCTCCACCCCACCCCACCCTGCTTGAAATGTGGTTAATGCATTTTGTCTCCCTTGCAGTTTTCGTCCATTTGTATCACTACCTCAGGATGGTGGATTCAAAAAGCTAAAACAAATCAGTCTGTAAATGAACAACAAAAAGTCTTTTGGTTCAGAGGAGACACACCAAGTTAGCTTTATCTTATGATCTCTGCCAGACAGCAGCAGAACACACTTATTCTCCCCACCCCCTAATGTATTTAGAGAGACAGAAGTTATTAGCAATTCATGTTCCTCCAAGATAACAAGAAGAGGGAACTTCATTAGCTGATCTGACTCTGATATGTAGGAGTCTGCAGAAAAGCAGAAATACATGAGCTGTGCCAATTGCATTCATTGCACAGGTTGTAGATTGCACAAAAGCAGGTATGTGTGCATGTGCATATGTGTGTGTACATGTGCATGCATGCATGTGTATAATGAACACTGATGAACTAGGTTGTGCACACTCGCTCTTTCTCTCTCTCTTCATATTAGTTTTTTGGCTGGTGTCAATATGTGGAAGTGAGGCTGCCAGCCTAGCCAGTAGGCCATTTAGTACAAGTCTTTCCAGGTTTCATTTAGATCTGTAGGCTTCATCTTGGCAAGAATCCAATGTCTGACTTCATAAAGCAGCAACTATGACTCACTGCCAAGGAAGCAGAGAACCAGGAGTTATTCTACAGCAGCTTGCCCCAACTTGGTGTCCCCTAGATGTCTGGGACTGCAACTCCCATCATCCTCAGTAGGCCTAGCCAGCTTGGTTAAGGACAATGGGAGTTGTTAATAAGGTAATTTGGGGGATGCATCCTCATGTGTGGTGAAGGGAGCACCTCCGAAGCTATGGGATGGAATGGAAGCAAGCTTTCATCAAGAGAACTCTGTTGTATGGTTTAAGCAGGCCCAAATGTCTGCATTAAGGGCAGCAGCTATGCAACTATGAGTACCAGAAACACTGAAAGGGGATAATTGGGTAACATTCAGTTAAGCTCAGGGGCTGAGAAGAGCTGGGGAATGGAGCTGATGAGGACAAGTGCTTATGAAATGCTCAGAATATCACTGCACATTCCAGGGCTGGCCTGCCCATGAGGCAAGGTGAGGCAGCCACATCAGGAGGCAGAATCCACAGGGGCAGCAGATCCCAATGTAGATACAGTGGTAACTCGGGTTAAGAACTTAATTCGTTCCAGAGGTCCGTTCTTAACCTGAAACTATTCTTAACCTGAAGAACCACTTTAGCTAATGGGGCCTCCTGCTGCTGCCGCACCGCCGGAGCACGATTTCTGTTCTCATCCTGAAGCAAAGTTCTTAACCCGAGGTAATATTTCTGGGTTAGTGGAGTCTGTAACCTGAAGCATCTGTAACCCGAGGTACCACTGTATTTTTCCCCTCCCCACTTGTTTCTGATGTAGGTCTTCACTCACCACTTTCGTTGTTTGCCTCAGTTGCCAAAATGTCTTGGGCCAGCCCTGGCACTTTCCCTTTAACCATTGCAGCCATCTTAATTAAACAATGACCCAATAGGTATGCTGCTTCTAAACAGACTTCTAAACAGAAGAGAATAGAATAATTTTTTTATAGCCGTACACACTTTGTATAGTCCAGTCTGTTTTTGTGGGCTTCGCAGTTTCATAATCTAGTTCCAAAAGAATCGCCATTTTCACAATCTGTGACCGCTCCTCTTTAGTCACAGAATCATTTTTCTGGTGATCATCTTTGCACAGATGTGTGCTCATTAGATGAATGATAAAGAGCTTACAGCTGTCAATGATCCAGATCACTTATATGGGGAAGGATTGTGGGTCAGTGGTGGAGCATCTGCTTTGAATTCAGAAGGTCCCAAAGTCAATCCCCAGCAATGGCAGGTAGGACTGGGAATGTTCCCATTCTGAAACCCTAGAGAGCAGCTGCCAATCAGTTTAGAAAGTACTGGACCAGATGGACTTAAAATCTGACTCAGGGCTTGTCCACACTTCTACTTGTACTGTGTCTAGAAAGCATGAGTCTGAGTGGTTTCCCCACTGGCTGCTCCTTACCACTCTTTAGCAATAGATTGAACCAATGTCAACCCAGGGAAAACCCAGTTTGCTGTTTGATCTGACTGAATGTCGAAGTGCTGTTTTTCCAGAGGAAAGTATGGATAAACCCTTAGCTTCCTTTGCTCCTATTCAATCCAACCCATTATTTTGAACCAAAAAATGAAATCTTAATGCTATATTTAGGGGAGGAGCCATAGCTCAGTGGTAGAGCATCTGCTTTGTATGAAAAGTTCACAGGTTCAATCCCTGGCGTCTCCAGGTAGGCCTGCCTGAAGCCTTGGAGAGTCACTGCCAGTCAGTGTAGGCAACCCTGAAGTAGATGGACCAATGGTCTGAGACAATATAAAGCAGTTCATGCGTCTCAAAGATCCAGCCCCACAATGCAATGTCCCAACAGAAGAGTGAAAGAAATTTAAAACTGCATACTGACTCTATACTCCTTCTACCTGCTTCAGCAATGATATGATTTTTTAATTTTTTTTATTTTTAAAAAACCTCCTCCCCCTCCTTCTTCCTGAATTCATTTCATAATCAAAATGCAGGTGCTATTGAATTAATAAGATGTTCACCTGCAATTTGACACAGAGGGGGCTGATTTTGCAAGAATCGTCATGCAGGCTATGGGACGCTCTCCCTGAATGCAAAATACCTAATTTACTTCCCTGGAACACCAGTACGCTGACATTTGCAGGAGGGATGCAAAGAAATACGAGCTGAGTAGCTCATGATTAACAGCCATTTATAGGCACAGATTGCGATAGAAGGATGCAGCCCTTCCATGACAAATACATTAGAAATCCTGAGATTTGTTTCCAACATAATAGGGCAACATGTCAGACAGGACAAGGAAGATAATTTCCCTGTTTCTGCTTTGTTTGTAAGTAGCAGAATTGTGGTGGGTTGACCTTTTTCAGACTGCGGGCCACATTCCCTTCTGGATGACCTTCGGGGGCCACATGCCTGTGATGGGTGGGTCCAGAGGCAAAAGTGCAATAGTAGCTGGAGGGCTGGTGGCACTCAATTGATCTCTGGTCACCTGCATTGCTGCTGCATTTTAGGATGCAAAGGTCAGGAGAAGTGCCAGAGCCAATGCAGTGCTCCCATTGATACATTTACACCATTATGACCTTGCTGGTGCCTCACCCCCTCCCTTCCACTCTTCCTTCCTTCCTTCCTTCCTTCCTTCCTTCCTTTCTTTCTTTCTTTCTTTCTTTCTTTCTTTCTTTCTTTCTCTCTGCCTCACAATCCCACTATGCAGCAGTGATGTGGGCCACCAGAGTTCAGGGCAGCCCCACTGTTGGCTCCTACATAACTTTGTGTAAACATGAATGTCCGTTTTACCTTTGTACAATAAACTAGCTGCTACACACATTAATGCAAGCCTTTCTGTCCTCCTTTGAGGCAAGCATTATATGAGTTCAAGGGCACATTCCAGCCTTGAAGAAAATATTTGAGCTGCACAGCTAGGCCAATGATGGGGTACTTCCTGAGAACAGTTCCATAGGCCAGTCTACACTAACTGGCTGCGGCTCTCCAGAATTCCAGTCAAAGGACATTCCCCAACCTTCCTGATGACACTACAGATCCAACCCTACTGTCTTTGCATGCAGTGGACATGCTGCACTATCTCTGGCTCTTCCTAAGCAGCCAAGGAGTTGCACAGGACTCTGGTGGTAAGATCCAGGAAGGAGGAAGAGGACCACAGGTGCTTTGCTAATCCCTTGTTTTCCTGATCATCAGGTTTGACTGGGACTGGGTTGGAGGAAGTAGTGAGGTTCAAAGATCCTCCTTGAGGCACCTCCTGCCCACAAAGGTGAGGTGTATGAGAAAGCGTGTGATTCCCCACCACCATCACCACTCACTCCCAACCACCTTGGCTTCAGGGAACCCAGCACAGACCAAGAGTTCACAGAAATGTTTTGAAATTCAGTGATTGAGCCCCAAGGTCCCCAAGCCCTTCCCCAGTAAATAAATTCAAATGGACACATAATTTTAGTTTAAGTTTTTGGGCAACATTTTGGTCACCACTTTATTGATTACAAAACAAATTGAGTGGTATTGGCCTAGGCATTGGTCAGAGACTATAACTGACTCTTACCTCTCTGGCTGGCAGTCTGAAAGGGTAAACACCAAACAAGGGAGCAACAATATTAGTGAAGATCAATTGAAGCTCACCCCAGGGTTCCTATGGTCCTGGCATGGCCCTAGCCCCTCAAGCGGACTTCAGACGAGATCCAGGACCCCCGGATTCCTTTACCAGAATAGCCTAATTCTGGAGGGGCAGGTTATAGCCACACCTCTCCTCCCACACATTTCTATAAACCAATGCCTAACCACCAAACCTTACAAAGTTGTGACGATTGCTAAGGGGGTAGGTGAAAACCAAGTGGCCAAACCCAATCTGCCAAATGGAAAAATTCCTACCCAGCCCCTGCTCCAAAGCAGGCAACCCAATCAAAAGCAATGCCAAAGCAGCAGAACCAAATGGGGGAGGGGCAGGTGTTCAGCAGCATAAAGCAAATTCCCCGCCCACATCGTGCTGCTGCATTTATAGGACCCCGGGATCACGCCACCTGCCCCAAGTGGCCCAAACAGCCAGGCATGATCCCAGGGCCCAACTAACAAGGCTTAGGCCTAGTAACAACTCACTCCGTGGGGGGTGGCTTAAGGGGCTTGAGCGCAACCAGGACCCTCAGTTTAGGAGGATCCCATTTTTTCAACGGAACAAAAAGGAATCCAAGATACGAAACAGGAAACACTGTCTTTCTAGAGAGAGCTCACATAAAATGTAACTGTAAATGATCTCAGACAGACTGGCAGATGTTATGTTACTTGTTCAACCAGGCTCTTTTGGACAATTCTCTTTTATCTGGGGGAGGTATATTCTACCAGCCAGCTACACAAAATGAATCATTTCATTGAATATTATTTACTACACTGAGGATGGAATCTGCTCTATGTGAGAAGTGAAGGTGTTTCCTCTATCAAATGACAGAGCTTTTATTCAACTGATTAGGCTACTTTTCTACACAAGGCACGTAGATCTCTGCTACTGTTGGGAGGCAGAAGCTGTAAATCAATTTAGGAGTGTTTTGGGCATCTTTTAGTGGGATTAACCTGCCCACAATTCATCATTCACAAGTTCCACATGTGCTGATGCATCAAGACGAACTCTTGTCAGTTACATCTTTTATCAATAATATTTCCAGCATTCAAGATATCTGGAGGTTTTTGGCAACTACCTTGCTACCTAATCAGCATGTTGCATTGCTTTTGTTGTTTTGTTGTTTGTTTGGGAGGATGTTCAGGATAAAAATACAATAAACACTGTCATTATCATCATCATCAACAGCAGCAGCAGCCAGAACAACAAATTGAACCTCTTCTTATTTATTCTTGGGTGTAAATACTGTGACACAATTGTCCTGATAATTTGAAAGATAAAAAAAACCACAGGTATTAATGGAGTCTACAAATTCTGAAGATAAGGCCCTATCTTGTATGAAACCAAGCTAACACAAAACAATCACTGTTCATGATTGCTATGCTCTGCCTCCTTGGTTGAAGGCAACATGTTTCTGAATACCAGTTGCTAGGAACCTCAATAGGGGAGAGTGCTGGGGTCCTGCTTGTGGATTTCCTTGAGGCATCTAGTTGGTCACAGTGAAAACAGGATGCTGGTCTAAATGGGCCGTTGGCCTGATCTTCTTTTTATGACCTTATCAAAAGAATTTGTACCCTGATTTCTATATATGTCTCAAAGTGCTGGCATAAAACATTTTTGCTTAGGCAAGTCTACCCAGACATGCAGAATTTGCATTTGTTTAATTTTTTCTTAGCTACTGTTGTTTTTAGTTGTTTCTATCAATAATTTTAAGGGTTTTATTTTATATTGTTGTCAGCCACTTGGAGGTTTGTTTGTGTATGTATATTTATATAGTTACTAAGTAAAGCAGGTTGCATTTTTTTAAAAATGGGAAAAAATCAATTAAAATATTCAGAAAACAAAAACAGCAGAGCAACATTCATGCTGCAAAGACTTCTTGAAATAAGGTTGTTTTCACCTCTTAGCTAAAACTTTTTCAGGGATGGTGCCAGCCTGGTTTCTAGCAGGAGGGAGCTCCATAAAGCTGGCATGACAACTCATTGACATGGGTCATGCTTCAGGACCATGGAGAGATGCCAATAGTGCTCCTCAGATGATTTCAGTGTGTTCTATAAGGTATTCTGGATCTAATTTGCTAAGGGCTTTGCACACTAGTGCAAGAATCTTAACTTGGCAGCTGTTAGGAAGTCAGTACAGGTCTTTTAACAGCAGTGCCATTGGTGGGCATATTTTATTTGGGCAACTGAAAAGAGTCCACTACCATCTTTATATGTGCAATCTTCTTTTAAATTACTGCACTGGTGCCATCACAAACTTTACTGGCTGTCCAGTGATTGAAAACCTCTCAGAAAATCATGCAGAAAAGTCACTATTTCTTGACTCCCCAGCCATCCATCAGCTCTAATTGTAAGTGCATTGGGAAAACAGCATTCTTTAGTCAGGGTTTTTTGTTTTTTTCCGTTTTCTCAAAAGAGCTTGGATTGTTCAGATGCCATTAGAAGGAAACTAAATAGCCAAGCAATTTAATTTAATTTCTTCAATACTGGTTCATGTTTTCTAAACAGGATCCATAGATCATCCACTTTTGCTGCATCTGAAGTATTGATTACAGAGCATTTCCTCTGGAGAATAAGAGGTACAATCAGGATATTTATGTCATTCAATAGGGCGGGGGACATGCTACTAAGAAAATGATGATAGGAATGCTCCCCACCCAGCTCGGTTCAGAATCAGCTTGATATTGGTAAACGTTTTCAGTGAGCATTCCTTAAAAAAACAGAACACCCTTATCTGTTCTCTTATTGAGTCATTGAGAGCCAGCGTGGTGTAGTGGTTAAGAGCGGTAGACTCGTAATCTGGTGAACCGGGTTTGCATCTCTGCTCCTCCACATGCAGCTGCTGGGTGACCTTGGGCTAGTCACACTTCTTTGAAGTCTCTCAGCCCCACTCATCTCACAAGGTGTTTGTTGTGGGAGAGGAAGGGAAAGGAGAATGTTAGCTGCTTTGAGACTCCTTCGGGTAGTGATAAAGCGGGATATCAAATCCAAACTCGTCTTCTCCTCTTCTTCTTACAGCCCGCCATTTATGTGTAAGCGTGTGCCATGTATTGTCCCCAGGACTGGTTGTGACCAGATCAAAGATGGGTGGTCAG